GTTTTGTGGTGGGCGGGGGTGGGGCACCCCGACGGCGGGGGTCCGGGGGTCGAACCCCTACCCCGGCTTTGCCCCCGGGGGCCCCCACCTGACAACCCTGGGTGTCCCCCTTGGTAGTGAATCCACCATCCTTGAGTTTAGCTCCCCCAGTTGACTGTCATGTCGGAACCTTTAACAAACTTTTCCATCATTTGCTGAATTTCCTTCATGTTGTTGTGAGTGGTCTCTGCCAAAATTGTGAGATCATCCGCAAAGAGGGAGCACACCGGGATTGCCTCCTCCGGGATGTGTGTGATTCGAATTCTGGTGATATTCTTGTTGGCCTGGAGGTTAGCAGCAGAGTCATACTGGAACGAGGCCTATGTACAGTTGTTCTCCCTACTGGATGAGAGCCCCAGTTTAAAAAAATCCCTGGGGCAGGGTCTATCCCCGAACATGGATTGGCAACAAGTGTTGCTTAGAGTCTAGAACATCGTACACCAGAACTTCCAACCCCCCGAAACATCAAAGTCAGATCATGCAGACAGGACACTAGACCAGTATGAGGGCACGATCAGTTCAGGACACACAAACAAACCCCCCCTTTTCCCCCTGAAAGTACACAACTAGCCATGCAAATAGATAAATCTGAACAAGGAGAGGGAGAGACGGTAAAGAAAATAGATCTGAACAAGGAGAGGGAGAGACGGTAAAGAAAACAGATGAGGCAGGACTTTCTAAACGATTAAAAATACGTCAGCTCATTGAGAAGAGGTTGTACCACAAAAGCCTACCAGAAGAGGATAAAGTACTGGTACTTCCAATTAGGAGGAAGACGGGAAAATGAGAACTTGGTCTATCACCCGTTGACTCGGAGGACCCATACGCGCCGTCCTACGGAGGGATGACATTGCAGGGCTGGCACATGAAGAAGGAGGGGGCATTACGGGTCCATGAGGTTACAAACTTCATCACAAACCACTATGAGCCAGGAGCAACGGTCACTATCAGCGTGTCATCAGAAAACCTGAGTATGGCTTACAAAGACCTTTACGTACTATTTGAAGACAACAAGGAAGCAGGGTTGCAATGACTCACACTGAGCTCGCTTCTAGACACCCAACAACTAAAAATCAAACCCAGTAACATCTGGTCGACGGACGACCTACTCACCTGTGTATGCACAATACTGAGGAAGAACATCCTCAACAAAAGAGTCGACTGGGAAACACAGGAATGGTCCCCGTTACAAATAAGATAGAGGAAGGGGTAAGAGGAACATGTGATCTACAATGGACTAGGTGGAAGTAGTGTATGGTAAAAACAAAAAATAGAAACACACTCTCCAACAGGCAGATCTAAATATCCGATCGATCAATTTAAACGGTTTGATGTCCCACAACCCCGAAAAGAATAATGCATTGTGGGACCTAATGCGGGGAGTGGGGGGAGGAACATGGTCAGATATTATTTGCGTCCAGGAAACACACCTAATGGATACACCAGAACACCATAGGGCGCACAAACAAGTGTGACCTTTTCAAAGATACCAAGCTTTCGCCCCCAGTTCGGGGAGTGTCGGGATAGCTATATGGATCCCGCCCGAATCACGCTTAGAAGTACTCAACTGGGAACAGGACAAGACGATGGGTTAAAGTGTTGGGCATGTTGGAGTTAAAAATTGTATGCATTGTATCCATCTACGGCCCTAACACTTCCGGTGAGAGAATGACGTTTTTTGAAAAGATTGAATTGATCCCCACCGCAGACATTCCGGTGATCCTAGCATGAGATCTCAATGCCGCACAAGACAGATGGTTGGACCGATGGAAAAAACCTCCCACCACTATACACAACGCAGAGAAGGACGAGAGGATGTTGAGGGACTTGTGTGCCTCCCTTTCGCTTTTTGACACCTTCAGACGGAGTCACCCGACCGAAAAGGCCTTCACTTATTCATGAAGCAACAACCCTAACAGACTGTCAAAATCTAGAATTGATCTAATCCTGACGTCTGAAGACCTAGGCGGGGGGCTCACCTTGTCAACAATACTACCAACTAACCCGCACCCAGGTCTAGACCACAGGATGTGCATGACAGTCTGGACCTTCCGAAAACGTCCAAATCAGGGAGCCAGCTATTATAAACTCAACACCTCCCTGCTCCGGTCTAAATCCTTCCAGAAGTACCTACATCAGGTTTGGAACTTTTGGATGGATACTTGCTCTCAACACGACTCTCAAATCGCATGGTTTAACAACGAACTGTTTTTTTTGGCAAAAAAATGCAACGACTATTCCAAACATTTAGCTGCACAGCG